CAGGATGAGAACAGAAATTGTGCTCCAGTGGCACAGAAGCAGCAGGAGGCCCCATTAGCTAATGTGGTGCTTCAGGTTAAGAACAGTTTCAGGTTAAGTACGGACCTCCAGAACGAATTAAGTACTTAACCCGAGGTACCACTGTACATGCTGTATTTGGTATGAAGTTGTAAGTGGGACAGGGGGGGAGGGGGGGGTTAAATATGTTCCTGTTTTTGAAAATGCTAATAATAATAATAATAATAATAATAATAATAATAATAATAATAATAATAATGATCAAACTGATTTTGGGAAGAGAATATTCCCCCCACCCATTCTTAAAGTCTGTGTATGTCTGTTTTTGGAAGTCTCCATCAAGAGAGATGCACTTCACAGTTCTTTAAGAGTTGAAATCAATTCTACGTTTACTTTTTTAGACATGTTGGTACATGGCAAGTCTGGGGTATGCACTAACACGAAACAGGAACTTTCCAGCTTCTGGCTCAGTGAATTTCTGGGTAATAGTAATCTTTTGTCTCAAAACATGTCAGGACATCCACGGGACACATGTGGAATTATCTCTAAATGTCAATTCGCAGTGACTGCTACATAAAAAAAGATCTATGAATCAATTCTCATCCTGACATTTGTTAATTGAAATAGTCCTTAAAACTGGCCTTTTGGAAGCTGGCTCAGTGGCTTAGGTCGTGTAGTTTTGCTTACTTTTGTTTGGTAAAGACCAATAACTCATGGTAAAACACAAACTACGCATCCCTGTGAGGCACACAGCAAAAGTTCGATCTCTGGCATTTCTAGTAAAAAGGAACTCAGTTAACAGGACTGAAAACTTCCCATGCCTGAGATCCTGCAAAAACCTTTGCCAGTCAGTGTAGATTATGGGGGCTAAATGAACCAGTGGTCTGGCTCACTATAAGGTATCACTTGTATTTATTATTCAGAATTTATATTGGCTATATGTAACATGCATTATATTATCCATTAACAAGCCAAAGGCGATGCATTCCAGACGTAAAGGTATTCTCAGTGTCATTCCTGAAATTCCCTGGCAATAACCAGTGTCAAGCTGCTTCCTCTTTTTAATGCTTTATACAGAATCAGAACATTTGTTAACATTCCCTGGTGATGATGATAATAATAATAAGCATTTTGGGGAAAGACATGACTACTGGGTTATATTTGTTTGCATAGTTCAAATTACATAACGGATGTGAATCCTGGAAATTAAAAAAAAGCACCCACTTCTTCATGGATCTTTTGATTCCATTAATTACAGACCAAGGTCAGAGGTGTTTATTGGCATGCACAAATAGTCTATAACTTTGGCATCAATAATTGTTTAATGTCACCAAGGGAGGGGACACCCAATTCTACAATTCTATGATCAGATGAGCTGACATTGGATTGGATGTTTTAGTCAATACACCCACAAGAATTGCTTTTGTTATGACATTTGCTAATCCAATAGTCCCGTTAATAACTATTGACTTTTTCTTTAAAAAATGAAAGAAGTCAAGCTTACTTGATCCATAGTTATTCTGTCTGTACCGTACCTGTACATTATTCAGTGACAAGTGCAAAATAGACCTGGGACACTTTTCTTGCAGTCTGTTTTCTCACTTTAACACCTGTTAGTGAAAACTGAAACATTACTTATTATTTATTTGATCCTTTTATATATGCAGGGCATGTGTTTGTATGTAATGAAAGAGCAGCAAGAACAAGCAACAATAACAGAATATTACACCAGAGTCACACTTCCCCTGCTTTAAATCCAGAATGATTACAAGAACTTTGTGCCCTCTCCCTGAAATACTGTTAACAGTATTTTTGCCCCATGGCACATGCATTCAAAACTTGGATTCAGTCCCATTGATGAAAAAAAGGAAAACACTTCTTAATAAGCAACCAAATGCTCTTGTGCACTATCAACTATTGTCTTTGTAGCTAAGTTCTGTTGTAGTGTTTGGATCTACAGTTTGGCCTTGGACTGCCTTCAATCTGTTTAAAACAGGCACTGCCTGTTGTATAATGTTGAAAGTGGCTGTTGTGGTGCAACTGTGAAGGTTAACTGTTGTGTTCTTATGAGATAAGGCACAGTGGGCACAGGACATTATTGTGGCTACGTTTTAGGAGGTACTCCTAAAAGGGGAATTATCAGTGCCAGTAATATTTTGGAAGTAATAATGCAACCTATTTTGATACTTAGTTCCCATCTCCCTCCTAACTGCTGACACCACAGCATGCAACTATTGTGATAGCAACGAAGATGCTTCCACAGACAGACATCTATGTAGTGCTTATACCTAATTCAAAAAAGTTTTCTTAATGATAGGGAAACATAAATTTCTTCTTTATTTTTTCCAGGAGCAATTAAGGGCAAACACAAAATGCATAGACATGGTGGTCCTGGGATTTAAAAAAAAATATTTTTTTGCACCGTTTGAGGGTGACTTGGTGAAGCAGGAATGAGAAGAACTTTTTGGATTCCCAGCCCGAGCCTTCAGACAGATTTAAACGGAAGTGATTTTTGTGAGCGTCGCGAAAATTCCTGTAGGTTTGAATTAAGAAATGCCCAGCAAATAAATGTGCGGCCTTAAAATCTGCCACTAGAGGGAGTCTGGGCACTTTCAAACGAATGAAAAGCCTAGAGAAAGCAGAGTAGGGAGCCAAGCGGATGAAAGACGAGAGAGTATGATGATGCTTGGGTGGGTTTTTTCTTTTCTTTTTTGTTCATCTGCTGAAGAAACCACAGCAGATACAGCCACATCATGCTTGGAAAACATTTCGCCTCAAATTAAAAGCCAGCCGTTTCAAAGGAAGGCAGGCAACCTCAACCTCAAAGATTCCGGACACCTCAAAGATTCCGGAATGTGCGTCTCTCTTCCAAAGTTTCCCCCCCTATTTTTCTCTTCCCTCCTCCCCACTTTTTCAGTTTTAGGAGGATGAAAGGTTAACTCAAAGGGGGCTCAGGGGAGCGCCTTACTCGGAACTACCTGTTCATGGATTGTTGCAGATCGCCACTGGCGATCACCCCTCAAATGGACATCAGCAGGGTGTGGTTTGGTGCGAAGGCCGATTCGTGTGTAAACAGCCCTCTCGTTTGCCTTCTGGAGGAAGGTCACCTGGGCTAGTTTCCCGGTAGCGCAGCGTAAGCAGGGCAGCTGCTGGCGGAGGGCGAGGCGAATGCCCTTTTAAGAATGAAAAATAGCTCCGGAAGGACCCCTGGCTTCTACTTCTCTCGATGCAAATAAATGTGAGAGGGGGAAAAGAGGTTTTCAGGTGAATCCCTTTGCCGCATTCCGCTAAATACTTAGCAGAGAGGTCTCTCCGGCTGCGTGGATCTTGCTTTCAACAGCGCTACCCAAGCAGGGCAACCCCATCTCTCGCTTATAAACCCCTTAAATAAACTAATTTAAAGCCGCACCGCCGACCCGTCATTCAGCGGCGCAGAAAAGCATTGGTGGGGGGGGGGGAGGGAGGATTAAAAGCGGAACAAAGCAGCTCAGAAGTCTGTTTTCCAGACTGCTAAACTTTCAAAATGTTGATTATACACCGTGTGCGAGATTAGACTTGCAGCCTGTGGTTAGATCCCCCCTGATCTCGCAAACACCCACCCTCCCTCCAGCAGCTGGTGCCGCAACCCCGTCCACTGGAACTGGGGAGGCGGCTTTCGTAACCACTCGCTCCCCCGATCTCGCAGGGAAGGAAAAGATCTCTCTTCCCTAACACGATGCTGCGCCGTCTCCCGCGCGGAAACGGTTACCTGCGGCACCGAGGGAACCACTCCTTGTAATTCAATTAGTCAGGTTTTGCAGAAGGCGGGGCTTGCGCGGGGTGTCGTCTCTTTGGAACGCGGGGGGGCGGGGCGCCGGGGAGAGGCCACGCCCCTTTCCGAGGCACGGAACCCAATCGCATTGGAGAGAACGCCGGGGAAGAAGGCATCTGTAAGCAAACAGCAGCCCGAGCCGTGACTGGCTGCTCAGGCTCACTCCCCCCCCCCCCCGCCAACCTCGCAAGTAAACTGCATGCAAAAAAAATCCCACATGATCGAGCAGCAGCAGCAGCGCCTTTGCTCCCAGCTAGCCGACTGCGCCTCTTCCGTGCGCGCGCGGGCGCGCACCCCCGCACCTCCACCAACGGAGGCTCGCTCTCTCTCTCTCTCCAGATTCGTCTCCTGACACCCAGACGCATGTGGATGTGTATATATATCTCTCTCCGGACACATCCCGTGTAGGCATCGATGCAGCTGTCTGTTGCGCGCAGGCACCGCCAACCCCGCCGGCCGCCTCGCTTTGCCTAGGCTGCCGCCGCCGCCGGATTTACACGCGAGGAAGAAGCCGGTCGTTGCAAAAAAAGAAAGAAAGGGGGCGTGACTATTTAAATATGTTTCCCCCCCTCGTAAATTCTCTCTCTCTCCCCCCGTCCTCCTCTCTGGCAGTCTGTTGACTTCTGCTTCTCCAATCCTCGTTGCGTTTCCCGATCCCTGCTGCTTCTGCGTTCGAGTTCTGCTTCCTTCGTTCGCCGGAGTCGCGAGAGAGACATTTGCCCGCTTCTCTCGGCGCTGCTGCTGCAGACGGTTGAGAGCAGCTGCCTGCTGCCGGGCCAGACCCCGAAGGTGCCTCCCGCCCGAATGTAGTCGTCGGCGAGGGAGGCTTCTTCCTTCTCTTCCCGCCTCCTCTTCTCTTTTGCAAAGTTGACGTTCGAGGGGCGACTTGGACCTTGCCCGGCTCCCCGAGACACTTGGCGAAGCTGAAAGGGAGCGAGACCGCCGCCGCCTCGCCTCGCCTCGCCTGGAGGGCTGGGGAGAGGGCTCGGGCAGCAGCAGCAGCAGCAACTCCTGCCTTCCGACAGACGAGGCGCCGGCACCGCGAAGCAACAGCGGCGGAGTTGGCGAGGGGCGCGCGCGCTCTCTTCCCTTCTCCCTCAGCCGCCCCCTCCTCCCCAGCGAGGGAAGCCGCTCCTGAGGCGATTCGGCGCTGACCTATCCTGAGGATTAGCCGACTCCTGCGCGGCATTCCGCCCCCTCCGCCCCGCAGTCCGGTCTGGGTCTTGTGGATTCCTCTCGCTTGTTGGTCGTCCGTCACCCAGGAAGCGGGGGGGAAGAGAGACGGGAAGGCGAGCGAGGCGCCTCAACTCCCCAACTCCAGCGAGCGAGAGGCGCCTCAGAAGTGGACTTCTCCTCACTCCTCTTCATTCTCCCCCCCCCCACCGCCCCGTTTCCTCCGAGGATTTCCTGCCCGCTTCTCCTCAGCCGGCCTCGGAGCGATCCCTTCAGAGCCCCTCGCGCCAAAAGGCGGGAAGAAGGAGGAGGAGGAGAAGAAAGGCGCCTCAGAGAGAGAGAGAGGAGAGAGGGAAAGAAGCGCGAGGGCGGGCGAAAGGAAACCCCTCCGGCCAAAGGAGGCTTGGCCCGCGGGGCCGCCCATCGTGGGCGCTGGACGGGGGCCGGGCCGGTGCATGTCTCGCCCAGGACTCGCCGCCTTGAAGGAGCTCCTGCCGCCGCCTCAGCCTCCGTCTGCTGCTGCTGCTGCTGCTGCCCAGTTCCCCCGGCCGGGGCGCGCAGACTCCCTGAGGATCCTTCCGCGGCGCAGGCTTTCCCCCCCGCGGGGGAATCTCCTGGCGGCCCCTCGCCCTTCTCTTTGTGTGTGTTTTTTTGGTGTCTTGTGACTCCGGTGTGGCTTTGTCTCCTTCCTCCCTCGTTCTCTCCTCCTTGTCGCCGTCTGTCTTTTGAGAAAGGAGCGCCTTGCCTGCCTCCTTCGCCCCTCTCTCTTTCTCCCCACCCCCCGATTCCCCCCTTGTGCTGCTGCTGCCGCCGTGTCTGTGTGTCTCGTTGGCCGGGAGTGATGTTGCACGTGGAGATGTTGACGCTGCTCTTTCTGGTGCTCTGGATGTGCGTCTTCTGCCAGGATCCCAGCTCCAAGACGGTGGCCGACCGCTACGCCGTCTACTGGAACAGCACCAACCCCAGGTAAGGAGGGCGAAGGCGGCTCTCAGGCCGAGCCCCCGCCGATGCTGCTCAGGGATGCCGGGCTACCCGGGGCAGCGGCAGCTCGAGGATCGGATGTAGGAAGGGAAGGGAGATGATGGGCTGCCTTCTCCCTTGGAAGCCCCAGCCGTTGGGCATCCTCCAGCGGGGGAAACCCTCGCTTGGAAGAAGGGGACAAACTTTTCCTCCCTGCTCTGTAGTTTCGGAGGCATCGCCCTGCGCCTTGTTATCTCTGGGTTGCATCAGCGCAGCTGATTTCCAATCCTTGGCTGTTGATCGTTCCTAAGGAATGCGCCTCTTATCTTAGGCACGCATCTCTTAACTTGTAGTGAATCACTCCTGAGAGCAAATAGGTGAACTCATACACCCAGGAAGTGTGTGCCTGTGATATATATGTGTGTGTTTCCCTTAGTACCTTGCTACCAGGGTTGGTTTTTTTTTGTAGATTCTTTTTTTTAACAGAACAGAGAAATTCTAATCCTTTTACTCTAGCGAACTTTTTTTTTTTTTTTTGCAAGTGTCTACAGGGAGAACATCAGACTTGTTCAGCGTCTTACGACTTTTGCCAGAGTGGTTCTGTTTTCGTTAGACTTAGTTTTTGTGGATTGTGGTTGCCTGTAGCCACATGTGGCACCTGTTCTGTGTCAGGGTTAGAGTCAGTAAAGGAGAAGTACGGTACTCCCCTTGCTTTCTCTTCTTTCCATCTGTTTGCCTGGGATAAGAGTATATGAATCTTACTCTTAAGCTGACTTGGGTTAATTGAGCAAGGATATCCCCCAAGTTTGAAATGTTTCAGTGCAGCCAGATGATCCCTAGACTTGCAGGTTTCTCATGGAAAAGGGCGTCTCAAGCTGTCAGAGCAAATTCAAGTCCAATGGTTGGTGATGCTCTCACAATGCAGAGGAAATCTGCTGTGAATCTTAGACTCCTTTATGCAGAGAGTCAGCATCATCAGGAGATGATACTGAGAGCTTGAGAGAGGATGTTCTCTTATGGGAGACATGTTTAATAATAAAACTAATTTAGGACAAAGTATCCAGTTCAAGATTGTGTAAAAACAAACTTTCACTGTGTTCCTTTGTTCTATTTGCATTTCGATAAATATAGTAAGTGCAAATAAAACCTATTTTGTTATTGTTTCTAAACTCTCCCATCAAGATTGCATGGACGGATCTTCTTTGAATTAGGAAGTTTTGCTGAGCTGCTCACATCTCCCCCTTTTCAGTAGCAGAAATTACAATCTTTTCCCAGTGCTGCCCCAGTATGAATAAGGCACCTCAGTACTTTAGGAGTTGTTGTTGTTTTTTGTTGGAGAGGGGGTTGCATTGTTAAAGCGGACAAGTAATTTTTCTTAGGTCTTCTAAACCTATATTGCTACTTCAAGTGAGTTTCTGGTCATTTCATTTTATGTTATCTTTGTGCTATGCTGCTGATTTGGCTGCTTGAATTGAGATTAGCACATTGATTTTTGTCGCAGGTCATGTTTTTTTATAGATCTGTGGTGCCTGCCAAAGTCTGTTTTACTCTGTATGTGAGAATGGCCTCAGAATATATGGTGCCAAAGTTAAAAACTGCTTGTTAAGTACCTTGAGTTCAGTAGACAGTTTGGCGTGCTAATTTTGTGTGGGGTACTTCAAGCAAAACAAACATTAATGCGGTGGTGTGTGTGACAATTAATACTGTTCCTGCTACTTAATTTTCTTGGTGACAGTTATTAACAGTTGTGTTATCAAAACCTGCCACCTCTCTCCCATCATAGCAAAGAGAAAACTGCAGCCACAAGTAAAACTGGTCAACTGTTACAACAGGCAGAAATCTGGAAGCTTTCCCCCCCCAATATGTCTCTTCTTAAGGGTGATTGTCCCATCTTAGAATAAAAGTTAAAAAATGAAGTGTATTTGTTGAAGATGGTGAAATAATAAACCGAATTCACCTACTGTAGTTGTGAAACGGAAATGTTTGCTGCTTTGAATTTTACCAAATGACTTGCACATGTTGCTCTTTTGCGAAAATCAAAGCATGCTATTAAATGTTTGCTTCTCTGCCTGTTATGGTATTAATTAAAGATGTGATGTAGGTACAATACTTCACTATAAATAATCCATGGAACATTGGGGTCAAAACTAGAGCGTTTAAACCAGTGAACATGGATAATGCCCATTTAAATGATAACTTTTGTGCCAAGAAAATGGTGTGTAAGAGAGAGGAGATAAAAAAATAGCAGAGGAGTAATGAGTTATAGAACTTTGTAAAGGTTGATGTGGGAATAAATTCATGAAACTAAGGGTTTAGAACACTGTACTATTGAAAGTGTTTAAAACTATAAGGCTCTTTCACAGTCACTATAAGCTCATAATTAACGCAATATAATTAGTTTCTTTTCTAGAATTGTTAACATATCTGCATGCTTTATGTTCACTGTTTGCTCCACTGAACCTGAAAAACCTTGCTTCATAAGATATTAAAAGTTAAGAGAACTTGCCATGTATTTTTATAAATCATGGTTAAGGAGAAGAAGTACTACAACCATAATGGTATTATTTTTTAAAAGATGCCATCACAGGTTACAATAATGAGTTTTTAAATTAATAAACTGGGCAACTCTTAAAAATTACAGAGTCATAGATGATGGCTATCACTTGACAAACAAAATACTGTTTTTAATGTATTGTACTTCAAATCTGGGCAGGGGTACCTTTACCTTGTTTACCTTTTTACTTCAAATCTGGAAAACCACAAAAACTTTTGAGAAGTAATTCAAGTGCAAAATATTTCCATAAAAGAACACTTAATATTTTGTGCGCAATTTCTGAAGCTTAATGTATATTCCCAAAAAGGTCATTTATTTAGATTTTATATAATCCAAGCATCATATATAGCATCAGAGAAAAGACTTCAAATTAAACAGATGTACAGTAAATGACTTACCACTAAGTACTTTCGGTAAGAAGCCATTTTACTATATATATGGGCCTCAATATGGTGCAGAAGTTGGTACACTTAAGTTTTTATATGGTCAGTTTTTATATGTATATGGTATACATATGAAGGATGGACATATTTTTTTCAGTAGTATTTGAATATTTTAGTAAAACTCTTCATCATGAAAGAGAAGCAGATCTTGGAATAACTGTACCTAGTTTTCCTTTCTAATGTAAGTTAATTGAATACATACAATTGTAACTAATATCAGTTAATAGTAGCGGTTAATCAGGACAGTAATTGTAAGTCATTTCTAAAATGGTTGGGTGATTTTACTTTAGGAAGTATTTGGCAAGTTGTCCTAAAAACTATGATGTACATAGTTTTGTGACTATAAATGACTATATATGGACATCAGACTTTATAGCTATATTTATGGCTAAAACGTCTACATTGAAGAATTGTATGTAGAATAGTTGAATGCTGTTTGGAACCCCTGTACAATGATTGGGCAGCTTTGAGAGGTGAAGTATAGGCTTCTGAAGCAAATGAGTATTATGTTTCCTGAAAATTGCATAAAGAAATCATTTTCTGTTTTAGGGCTTTATCCTTCAGATACTTAGTGTGTCAAGCAAACACTGGCATTGCAGATGGTCTATGATCCCTAGTGCTGTGTTTTGCACAACTGTCTCCCCATTGCAATATCTAGATTATATTAGGCTGCATAACGTACAAAAACTACTTAACACTGCTTGCTTATATAAGTAATTACGTTAAAGTCAAACACACATTAAACCTAGGAATATTTGTATACCTATAAATAAAAACTAATTATATTTCCACACTGGTGCACGTGCAAGCTTGAGTAAAAAAATTACACTTTTAATTATGCATTTTGAGAAATAGAAAATTTTGCCAAATGGCGCTTATCTAATGGACAGTGCAGTCCTATGCATGTTTACACAGAAGTCAATCCAACTGTATTCAGTAGAGTGTAATGTGTGTATGATTATAGTCTTGGGCTGCAATCCCATGCACACTTGGAAGTAAGTTCTGTTAAACTCAATGGGGTTTACTTCTGAGTTAGACAGCTATAAAATCAAATCATCAGATACACTAAGACTGGTTGCCACAAATATTGCTTTATCAGAGTTGTTGTGAAGGAGACTGCATAAGTGTAAAATGCGCCATGTATCGTCTTCAAAACACTGTAGATTTTGTTGCAATGAAGAGGGCCTGGTCTGACTTGCAAACATTTGATATGAGTTTTTTCCTGATACAAGTCTCACTGAAATTAATGGACTTAAGTGCATTCTTAAGTTGAACCTTGCACTTAATTCCTTCACTGTGTAACTCAGGCCTTAAAGTAGGTTAGCTTTCAGAGATGCTATTGCTGTTGAAAGCTTTCAGTTTTAACTGAATTTGGCAGTTTCTCAGAAATATTCAGCCCAGTGGTTTGTAGAGGGGTTCTACTTTATTTTATTCTTGATGCTTGTAGTTTTATTTCCAAATCTTACATCATTTCTCTGTGTATTATTAATACTATTGTATGAAAAAAATGCCTTTGTGGATAAATAGGAAGACCTAACTTTGTGTAGTATGAACCTATGAATATTTTCTCTAAAGTCCCACTATCTTAAGTGTTGTAGGGGTTGCAGTCTCTATTTGAAGTAGATATATAGGGTTGCAATGTTAGTTTCTTAAGAAAGTCTATTTATGTATAAGGAATATTAATATTTCAAATGCTAATTTTATTGGCAGCTATAATCTGGAGGGACTGCTGTCTCAAAGTCAGTGAATTTCTTCTGATTAAAAGTGCAAAGGAAAAGCATTCAGTAGGTCGTTGAATGCGGTTTACTTGACTTTGTTACCCTGAAAATTGTGGCCCTGAAAGGCCTTTGGTATTTTAAAATGGACTCCCCATATTGTTCAGCTTCTCACTTGGAAACCTATCCAGTGAGCCATAGCTATATGTGCCTTCCTCTTTAAAGGAGATGGTACTGACTAGAGGGATGAAAAAATATCACCTGCCTAATTATTTTCCCATTTTACCCTTTTTC